CTCGGCCTTTTGGAGCACTAGCTGTGGCGTCCAAATTTTTCTTCTCTTGAGCAGGAAAATAAAAGCGTCTGCATCAAATCGCCCAGCAGGCGACAATACGTTTCACTGCTGACTGAGCTATTCAATTGAAACAGCTCCAATAGCTAGGTTTATTTTTTGATGGTTCTATATATTTCAGGTAGAATACTAAACTAGTCCGAGTTGTCAAAATGGCCACAATGAATGTTGAAAAAGCTCATGAAGTAAGAGAAGTAGATACAGCAGCTGCTGGTCGTGGTGTCTGGCTTGTCAAGGTATGCTTAATCTTTGTTCTAGGTTTATTTACTGGCTTGATTTAATTGCATTGTCAATTTTTGTAAGCTTTGGTGATAGGTGTTGAAAGCTGACTTTGGGACTCTTCGAAAGCACTGGCTATGGCATTAGATTTTTCTTAAGTTCAGTAGTATTCAAACTCAAGGTACCTTTATGCCTAACGCCTACCATACGACAATCCAACTAGCTATCGTCTAAGCTATTTCACTGCCACAAGGGACAATGTTCCAGCCTGGCATTAGAGAGAACATATTTACACAGTTTACCTTCCTGCTTCTATATGTCTTACAAAGATTAGTTAAAGGAGATTATTATTTTGTTACTTCTGTTATTTCTCAAATGAAAACAACTTTCTTTGATAGCATATCACTTGTGCTTTGAGTGCATAGAAATATAGGTTTACATTTGAAATAGATAAATAAGTGAAGCATATAACATCATTTCTTTAGAGGAATAGTTCAAATGATAATAGAAGCAACAAACTTGTTTTCTAAATAATACTAATCAAACCTGCCTGATTGGTCAAATTTTCAAACTTCACATTTTTGTTATGTTTTTTTCAGGTACCAAAATACTTATCAGAAATCTGGAAAGAATCTCCACCTAATTCTGATGTTGGAAAACTCAAAATAACAAAATCAAAGTAAGATTTTTGATATCAATTTTGATCATGTCTTAGTAGCCTGTTGTCCCACAAACTGTGCAGATTCTCTTGATGCAAGGCAATTAGAAAAGAGTTGACTTATGACTGCTGTATTCAGAAAATGTCCCTCACTGCACACTGATTTCTCTGTCTCTATGGATTGTCCACTTCCATTTTCAACTGGAGGAATGAGGACTTATTCAGGATCATCAAATCATCACGCTGACCAAAATTGAAACACACAATTTGTTTGACATTATTAAATTCCCACACTCTAACCGACTGCGCTACAGTAGAACCCATGTACACCTATTTATGACTAAAGAAAGCAAATGATGTCATTTAAAGATGTCAACGCCCTAAAAGGTATGTGCTACAAACCATCCTCTGAACTATTGCCAATATTCCACATTGTTATTGTTTATTTACAGATTGCCTGGTCAGAAGCCTGAAGTTGTCTTTACAGCCAAAGAAACCTCAGCAGATATACCTAAAGATCATAAGTTTGTGTTAACTGGTGTTGGTACACAGAATTTAGTGGTCTTTTCACAGACTCCTATATATGCTGGTATGTGGTCTTTTACATTTTTGGGAGCTGCAGTGACTCAGTGAGTTAGATGCTTGCTTGCTAACCTGGATTCAATCCCTCTATAGGTCGAGATAATACCTCAGTTTCCCCCCTTGTCAGTGATGCAGGTCGGGGGGCTAACATGGCAAAAGTGTCTACTTGTCCCATTTGCTACAGGTAGGTAGGTAGATAGATGACAAGTTAACGTTCGCTTCCAGCGGATGCTGATATCGCAAACTACAGGCTGTGCACCTTAAAGATCTCTCAACAGTTGGAAATTGAAAAAGAGTAGGCAAATGCAGTGCAGCTGTCCTGGCAAATTTTAACTTTCTTAAGACTCCCATTTCGTGCTGATGCAGTTGAGATTGAGACTGACTGAATGACCAGGCGCTTTCACTCAAACCTAATGATTAAATGTTTTATTATTTTGATTTTTTTTCATATTTGTAGAAAGTAAAGCTACAGGTTCCAAAGAGCTGGTCTCAGGTAAGGAGCTCTATGTAACTACATACTTGATTAAAAATTATCCTCATTATCTCCCCTTACCTGTGTATAGTATATTAGCCTAATGAAATGTGGCAGTGGAATAGCTTAGTCAGTAGTGAGTTGGATTGTCATTTGCTAGGCGCAAAAAGGAAAATTCTGATTGCACTGCCAGTGCTTTCTAAAGTCAGCGCCATGTCGTTATTGCATTGTTGTTGCATTGAAAATGGTTATATTTGATTTTTTGTAGAAAAAATAGCAGTAGATGGAAAAGTAATACAGAGAGCTGAATGTCGTCCTATAGCAGATGAAACATATAAAAAATTAAAAAGGTATGGTTCTTTTAATATCATTCAAAGCCTTTTTATGACGTCACTATCGCAAAAGCTAGCTAATATCTTGCGGCTTTTACAATAGTGATGTCATTAACAGCTTATGGCTCAGTGAGTTAGACGCTTGCTCGCTAACCTGAAGGTCCAGGGTTCAATCCCGACATAGGTCGAGATAATACCTTCTGATTTTTTAATCAGGTTTCCTCCTGTCATTGATGCAGGTAAGAGGAGCTGACATGGAAAAAGCGTCTAGTGGTTCAGATGGGACAATAAACCGAGGCCCCGTGTGCTACAGGCTGTGGGCGTTAAAGATCCCTCAACAGTTGGAGAAAGAAAAAGAGCAGGCTAAATGCCGCTGCCTGGTAAAATTTTCCTCATGGAAAAAAATCCTCAAAAAAGGATGTAAAACTCCATTCATTTTTCCTTTCATTAAAAGCTGAATTGTAGCTGAAATGCAAATTTTATAAATAATTTTTTCAATGAGAATTGAAATATCAGCTGTGAAATAGTATACTTCACTTTGGAAATTGTTTTAATAGAGAAAAATTCATCCAAAATTTGTGACATTTTCAGTTGAAATTGCTGTGTATCATTTTTTATCATCTTTCTATTGACACCTTGTAGCTCTTAGTGTCACACTTATATTAATCATTATTTTGTAGGTTTAATTTTGAACAAGGTAATAAACCTAAACGTGAAATAAAACAGTTAGATAGAATAGTACAGGTTTATAAACCAAAAGATTATGTTTCTGCTGTGAGTATTGTTTTATTATTTTATTACATATATTATGAAACAGAGGTGGTTTTGTAACATTTTTATGTGTATTCTGGACACTGATATCATCGATTTGCACCATTCAATTTTTCACTCAGATGTCTATAAAACCTTGCGTTGATTTAGTTTAAGTGGAATTGCAAGACCCACAACCGTGTATGACTGAAAACTGGAACAATGCATTT